TCAGCTAGCATTCCAGACATTCTTAGGACCATAGGATGAGCCCTAGCTGAGCAGGACCTCAGGAAGGTCCTGATCCAGACCCACATACCTGAGCTGGCAGCCAGAATTCACCCGTATGTGCTCAGTCATGAGCATGGGTGCTTTTTTCATTTCCTCAGGAAATACAAACTTGCTTGCAATTATTTGTTTCATTTGTGTATGTGCTGATAGAATGGCTAATTATTAGAAACCACCCCAGCATTTGCTAGGCAACAAAGAAACCAAGTTTGGGATGATGAATGCCAAGTCCTGCAGTGTTCCTGTCCTGAAATAGTTATAAGTTCATTATGGCCCCTCACACCTGGAGGTAACACAGGAAACTGAGTCACAAAATTACATTTTCTCACCGGCAGTGTATCTCTGCAAATTGAATTATGTTTTTGAAATCTTGCTGCTTTTCTCTAATTTCAATTCTTCTCCCACTCACAAACACTACTTTATTGGGTTAATTTTTGATATAGAAATTTTAGCAGCCCAATTCTCTCCACAGCAAACAGCTTGCTTCAAATACTTAACAAAGTTAGGTTAATCCTTTAATGTGTTGTTTCTGTCTGGAATGTACCAAGACAAAGTGATTCATAGGAATCAACTTTTATTATAAGAATTATTATATTCTTTGGATATAGAAGTTTTCAAATTAATTATCCTTTCTGTATCTCCTAATCTACCCCCTCCCACTCAAAAAAATAGTCATCTAAATTTTCCTTAGGCAGCAAACGTGTCCTAGGGCTTAGCCCTCATTTCCTCCCTCAGCATGTCTTTTGTTCATTAATAACTATTGCTTGTGGCTTATCCAGAAGGCATTTAGACTGGGATGATATGCTGAGCAAACCACATTTCTTCACTATAGAGAAAAAGAAACCATACTTGGTCACCAACGTGACTCACTCCAGGCTATACCACCACACCCAAACCACACAAGACTGCAAACACTTTGATTAGATTTAACCCAGAAAATAAAGCCAACATGCAGAGCAAGGCGTTCTGTTTACAGGTATGCCTAAGGTCACCTCTCTTTGGTGTTTTCAATAGCCTTGATCCTTCTTGCTGCAGATCACTTCACATTACATATTTAATCGTGTTTGGTTTGTTTTCACTTTTTTTTCCCCCCCTGCATTTCTGTTTCAGGCTCAGGTTATCCTATGAGGATAATGTGCCGTTTCCAAGAAGCTCTTCAATTGCCTGCAATCCAGAGTTCCTTTTATTGAGGAAAAGTGTCTCTGGTTATAATACTCAAAGTCATTTTGAGCACATTCATAATCTTGACTTTTTTGACTCAATATATAAGAACCCACTAGTTTCTTCTGGAGAGGGGAGTTAAGAGCATGCACCAGGGACCACTTGGAGTATCCAGTTATTCCACTCCAGTTCCTCCTTCTCTGGAGCAGAATCCCAGAACTCCACTAAGGCCCCATTACTCTATGCCTTTTCTCTCCAGCCCACTGTTGATTGGATCAAGGGTAGACTTTACTTGAACCGACCTAAACAGGTCTTCTTTTTTCATTGGCAGGTGGGAACTGAATAAAGAAATTAAGATGGAGACAGAAAGAAAAAACTTTCTAGGTGGCCAAGAAGTATAACATAAAGCATGCAGAGCTAGGCTTCGCTGTGGGAACTGAGGACCCAGAAAGCCAGCCTGCACAGGAAGAAAGAGCAGGCTGCCAGGGAGGCAGAGATGGGAGATGGAGAGCTTCAGGAGTGTGGGATTCTGCGGGCGTTGTACGCATTATGGGATGCAAAGGGGTGAAGCGACTGTCTGGGTGTGGGGTGTGAACAGAAGGAGAAGGGTGGAGGCACCTCATGGAGATAAAGAGGACCCCACTGGCTGAGATGCTACGGTCTATACTGTTGGGAGTAGAATGAATACCACTCTATCACCCCATTAATATACTGACAGCAGCTACACAGTGCTGAATGAATACTAAATAGAAAAATCTATAAAGATACATGACCTATCCTTTCAGGCTTGGCTAGTCAAACTCCCATACAGCATAGCAAATGCTAAACATATTAATGACCATAGAGTAAAGAAGAAGTTTCAAGAAAGCTGACGACAGAGGGATGAGTTTTTACTTTCCCGGCAGTCCGTGAGGAGTTATTGACTTTGACACCGACCAGCATTTTTGTGGAAAGGTCTTTTAAACACATGTGGCTTTTGCTATATTATTGTAGCCACATATGGTAACATTATAATTTTTATTTGCCCAGTACACCACGCTGCTATGAACGAGTACGACCTCTTACTCTCAGCGACTTTATAGTCCGTAGAAGCAGACAGAGAAGTAATGCAGGCATATTGTAATCTTATTTTGCGTGCTTACTTGCCATTTGCAGATCTTTTGTTTTTTTTTTTGTTTTTTTGCTTGTTGTTTTTAACATATGAAGTTTTGTGCAACCCGCTCTCAGGTATCGTCATCAGCGGGCACCATTTTCCAAAAGTTGTGCTCATCCGTCTCATATCACATTTGGTAATTCTTCGCAATATTTCAAACTCATTATTATTATCCAGTTAATGATTATCTGTGATCGTGATCTTTTATGTTACTCGTTGTACATTGTTTGGGGCCTACGATACTTCTGCTCCCATAGAACGACAGGTAACTTAATCAATTAATGTTATGTGTTCTGCACTGCTCCACTCCAGCTGTTTATTAGGATCTAACTTAGGAATGAGTTTGCATATAATATAGACACTTAAACAGTATTCTATAGGAAGTAAAAAAGAGCCAAGAAAACTAGGTAAATATCACTTTACATTGCATGTGGGCTTGCATATTTTGGCACACATCATAGTGGTAACACTTAGATCACACAGCGTGTTCATCAGCTTCTGCGACTCCTACTGCCTCCATACCTTGAGCAAGTCTAACTAATCACTTTGAATCCTGTTCTTACTTTACGTATGCAAACAAACTGAGTATCCACTCCTAGGGTTATTCTGAAGAGTGAAATGAGGCAATGTATTAAAGCCCTTAGCACAGTGCTTCTGTTGTATAATAATTGCATAAACACTGGTTGCATTTAATTCATTTATTATTTTGTTGTTATTTTGTGGTGCCTTAAGGTTTATAGTATACACCTTTACTTTATTACAGTATGCGTTCACATAGATATTTACAGTATTTCAAAAACAGCATAAGAACTTACAATAGTATACTTCCTTTCATTCCTCTGACATCTTGTGTATTATTTTGTCAACATTTACTTATCCATATGTCTTGGAACTCAAAACATTGCTACGTTTTTAAGCATCTTTAAAGTTGTTGCTCCTACTGTTTCTTACTTTTGTTTTTGGAAGAAATCTGCTTATCATCAAGAATTTTCTTTCTTGTGTGTATGTGCATTCTTTTTGTCTGGATTGCTTCTAGCATTTGACCCTGCTTTTACGCATTTGATTATGGTGGTGCCTTGGTTTATTCTTTGGTTCATAATTCTTTGCTGTTGTTTTGGTTGAGCTTCCTGGATCTGTGGCTTTATAGTTTTCATAAATTAAAAAAACTCATTATTTGTTCAATAATTTTTTCTGTTCCCTTCTTTCTCTCTATGTACTTTACAGTTATGTGTAGATCATCTGCTTCATGGTGTACAGCTCAAGATTTGTCAAGTTTTTTGATACCTGTCCCTCCTTTGGTTGTTTTAACCTTTTGATAGTTCTATTACTGTAATTTCAGTTACTAATCTTCATTCATCTTCTGAATTGCTAATCTGTCATTATCACATTCAACTTTTCACTTTACACATTGTAGCTTTACTTCCAAAGATTTCGTTGGGTTATGATATCTCTTATTCTCTACTGAATTATTTAATGTTGGATAGAGTTATAACTTTTTAAAATATTCTTGCTTGGTAATTCTAGTAGTCTTGTTCTGACATGGTTTATACATGAGTGACTTATTTGTTTATAACAGCGCTCATATTTTCCCTACTCTTTCTGTCTACATATATTTTTTTCAGATTTATGGATACAAACATTTTGTTACATGTAACCTCTTTGCCTTGCCCAAGCCAGGGCTACAAGCGTGCTCTTCACATATCGTGTGCTCCTCATTTTTGTAGATTTACCCCCTAACACCACCCTGCTGGCACCAATGATATTCGACATGTGAGTACCTTACTTTGATCACTTAGTAATAATGATGCTAGTACAATGGGTGCTTGTTTTCAATCTACTGTGAACATTCACTTTGAGATGGTCTCACGTCTATCCAGGATAATATATAGGAGGTCTAGAATCCATTGTTTTTGTAGTGAGTACATTATTCATGGTATACATATACATTACCATTTTAATTATCCCATCATGTACTGATGGCCTTGGGTTTTCCACATCTTTGCAATGTGAAGTTGTGCCTGCGTGAACATTCACCGTGTAGATGTGTGCTGGGGGGCGCCGGCTCACAACTCGCCTGGCGGAGACCCGGCTGGCACTGAGCTCTGCTCATGCCGCGGCTGCCAGGTGAGCAGGCACCGGGGGGCGGGGTCCGATTTGGCCCCGCCCCGCCCGCCGGGCCCCGCCCCGCCCGGCTTGGCTCCGGGCTAGTTAGGGAAGAGGTGTCATTTCTCCAGGCAGCCACGCCCGGCAGCACAGACTTCACGGAAAAGACGGGATCCCGCTAATCAAACGACCCCGCGCTCTCTAAGGGTCCTGCAGGAACTTTATGCCCCCTGCATCCTCGCTCTCATTTCCCCCGGGTCTTACGTGCCAACTTTTCTCGGCGCGCCCCCCGCCCCCTACCCAGGCAAAGTCACGCCCAACGCACTTGACCCAGGCCCGGGAATCCCTGGCCACCTCCAGCCACCTGCCAGCCAGGTGGCAGGCACTGAGCCCGGGCCCTTTCCTGGCCAGAGGTGGGGCGCAAGGGGCGGCAGGCCGGGCAACGCCCAGAAAAGGCAGCGCAGGGCTCGGGGACGCGGGTCCCTCCGCCGCCCAGCCCCGCGGCCGGGACAGGAGCGCCACTCACCTCCTGGGCGTGGCGGGCGCTGCGCCGGGGCCGCGGGGAGGCGGCGGGCTTCTGGCCAGGCTGGGACATGGCGAGGCCGCTGCGGGCGCCGCCGCCGGGAAGGCGCAGCGAGAGTGGAAGGGAGGCCGGCGAGGGCGGAGGGGCAGGCGGGCGCGCCCGTGAGGCAGCTTTTCCGACCCAACCCCAGGCCCGCGCCCCGGCTCCCCCTCGCCCCGGCGGGCCCTCCCCTTCCTGCCGCAGCTGGCCGAGGCCCCCGCGGCGGCGACTGTCCGCGCTGCTGGGCTGGAACTTGACACCCTCCGCTCCGGGTCTTCAGCCGGCGACCCTCCCCGGCCCCCGGGGCTGCCCGGTTCCGCGTTGGTGAGAACCGGGGGGCTGGAGGTTGCGGGGTTCCTCCTCCGGCTGGCCCGGGCGTATCTTGCAGTTGTGCAACGGGACGGAGGGACCTGGGCGTGGCCCGCTGACGCCTCGACCCTGCCCCCTGAGAATGTGGAGAATTAGACACTTTTTCTGCATGCTGCCCTGGTCTAGCCAGGAGAAGTTACCAACGCAAATCTGGCCCACGCCTGCACTGTCTAGATAAGGAAGAGGATCCTAAGAACAAATTGGTCTGTGTGTGCCAGTGTGCACGCGCCTGTGTATGGTTTTTTTGGGGGGGGGGTCATTTTACTTTCTTTTTTTGTTTGTTTTGATTTGGGGTTTTTTTTTGTGTGTGTGTGTGTGTGTGTGTGTGGTGTGGTAATTTCTAAACTTTAATAATCTATTGTGGAGAAGAGAGGACGTAGTTTCCAATGCAAAATGGAGAACAGCCCCAAATTTAAACCCTTATATAGCTTTTCAGGAGTTTGACGGATTTTGTTTCTGGGGCTGGATTGCTTTTGTCTTGGGCTCCTCTGGAACAACACTTCCTGGTTTGGGGTTGGAAGGGAAATTTGACAGGCCCTACCGGGACACGCTCATCTGGAGCGACTGGCAGCCTGCGGTTGCTGCTGGTTCACCGTCAGACCTGACAGGAAAGAAACGGTTACCCTGCGCCCAGAGCAGCGGCATTTTGCAACTTACTGGGTCGCAGCTCTCTGCTGTGTTGTGTTTTAGACAGTTCACGGAAAGGAAGCCAGATTTTAGGGAATAAGCTGCCTGACAAAACGGGGCATTCTGGTTTCCCCTCTACCCTTCAGTTTTAGGGACTCTGACTTCCTCTTCCTCAAGAAATAGGCTGGCAGCATTTCTTAATGGAGAGAGAGAAGGGGGGTTTAAATGCATTTCCTCTTAAACGGTTCTACTTACTATCTATGTATCTAATATTTCAACAAGCAGATGTCAGTACGGGAATTCATATATAAAAATGAAACAACTTGGATCTGGGGACTATTATCCATTCAGGAAAAATTGGTGGAATCAATAACATTCAGAAAGGGAGAAATATTAATATGTCATAAGCCTTAAAAAAGTTCTTATTGTGAGTAAACCACTACAGTTATTTAAACAAACACAAAAGCTACAGGGGGTGAGGTGATAGCTCCTGTTCCCTGGCCTCCACTGTGGGAACTGGAGTCTTTTTCTTACTAGGGAACCTAGATGTTTCAGATTCAGGGTTTTAAATTCCTGGAATTATTTTAACTCTGGAAGAAGAATGGTTCCCACTGACTTGGTGGCATTAAAGTTTGAGGTGTTTTCCGACAGAGTATTTAAAAATTGAATTTAAACCAGTTACTTATATATTTCTTGAGAGAATCTTCTATGTGAAGCACTGTGAAAGTTATAGTAGAGGGAGAGATAAAAGATTAAAAATACACATTCCTTGCCTTGGGGACTTAGAGTATAGCTGAAGTCATATGGCATTTGTAACACATGATGGTTTAATGACATTGAAAGACATACAGTGTATGAATAAGTAAACATAAATGTGCTTCAGGAGTTTGGGATTCTGCGGGCGTTGTAGATTATGGGATGCAAAAGGAGGTGTGAGCAGACTGTCTGGGTGGTGGGGTGTGAACAGAAGAAGGGGTGGAGGCACCTCAGGAGATAAAGAGGAACCCACACACCTGGCTGAAGCTGAAGGTCTATATTTAGGAGTAATGAATCCATTTATCAACCCATTATTTACTGAGCAGCTACACAGTGCTAAATGAAATACTAAATAACAAAATCTATAAGAAATAATGACCCTATCCTTTCAGGCCTTGCTTAAAAGTCACAACTCACATAAGCATAGCAAAACTGCTAAACAGTGCATTAATGACCATGAGTAAAGAAGAATTTCAAAGAAGCTGACGAAGAAGGTGATGTTTTTACTTTCTCCCGGTAGTCAGTGAGGAGTTATTGGACTTTGACACCACGGACCAGCATTTTTTGGGAAGGTCCCTTTTAAACACATGTGGCTTTTGCTATATTATTGTTACCACATATGGTAAGCATTTAATTCTTTATTTGCCCAGTAACACACGCCTGCTATGAAGAGGTACTGGACCTCTTACTCTCAGGACTTTATAGTCTGGTAGAAGAGACAGAGAAGTAAATGCAGGCATATTGTAATTTTATTTTGCGTTGCTTTATTGCACTTTGCAGATCCTTTTTTTGTTTGTTTGTTTTTTGTTTTTTTTTGCTGTTGTTGTTTTTAAACAAATTGAAGTTTTATGGCAACCCCGCCTCAGGTATGTCTATCAGGGCACCATTTTTCCAAAAGTGTGTGCTCAGTTCACGTCTCTATATCACATTTTGGTAATTCTTGCAATATTTCAAACTCATTATTATTTATCAGTTATGATTATCTGTGATCAGTTATCTTTTATGTTACTGTTGTAATTGTTTTGGGGTGCTACATACTTCTGCTCCCATAGAAGATGGTAAACTTAATCAATTAATGGTATGTGTGTTCTGACTGCTCCACTCACCAGCTGTTCTATCTAGGAATCTGCTTAGGAATAGATTTGCATATAAATATAGACTTGAAACAGTATTCCTATAGGGAAGTAAAGAATAGAGCCAAAGAAACACCTAGGTAAATATCACTTTCCATTGGCTGGTGGCTGCCATATTTTGGCAACACATCATAGTGGGTAAAGCTTTAGATCCACACAGCCGTGTTCAAATTCCAGCTCTACCACTTACTGCTTCCATACCTTGAGCAAGTTACCTAATCACTTTGAATCCCTGTTTTCTTACCTGTTACCTATGCATAATAAAACTGAGTATCCACTTCCTAGGGTTATTCTGAAGATTGAATGAGGCAATGTATTAAAGCACTTAGCACAGTGCTTTGTTGTATAATAATTGTGCAATAAACACTGGTTGCAATTTTAAATTTCATTTATTATTTTTTTGTTGTTATTTTAGTGGTTGCATTAGGTTTTATAGTATACACCTTTACTTTATTACAGTATGCGTTCAAATGATATTACAGTATTTCAAAAACAGCATAAGAACTTTACAATAGTATACTTCCCTTTCATTCCTCCTGACCTTTGTGTTATTGTGGTCATACATTTTACTTATCCATATGCTATGAACCTCACAATACATTGCTACTGTTTTTTAAAGCATTTTAAAGTTGTTGCTCCACTGTCTTCTTACTTGCATTGTTTTTGTGAAGAAATCTGCTTTCATCAGAATTTTTCTTTCCTTGTGTGTATTGTGTCTTTTTTGTCTGGTTGCTTCTAAGATTACCCTGCTTTTGAGCAATTTGATTATGGTGTGCCTTGGTTTATTTTTGTTCATAATTCTTGTGCTTGTGTTTTGTTGAGATTCCTGGATCTGTGGCTTTATAGTTTTCATAAAATTTGAAAAAAACTCACTTATATTTGTTCAAATAATTTTTCTGTTCCCCTTCTTTCTCTTCTACATACTTACAAGTATGTGTAGATCAGTCTGCTTCAATGGTATGACAGCTCACAGATTTGTTCAATTTTTTTGAAATTCCCTGTTCCTTGTGTGTTTTATTTTTGATAGTTTCTATTACTGTATTTTCAAGTTTACTAATCTTCTATTCTCTTCTGAAATGCTAATCTTCCATTAATCACATTCAACATTTTCACTTTACACATTGTAGCTTTAACTTCCAAAATTTCGGTTTGGGTTTATAGATATCTTTTATGTCTCTACTGAATTATTTTAATGTATGGAATAGAGTTATAACTTTTTAAATATTCTTGCTTGGTAATTCTAGTATCTGTTCTGACTTGGTTTACGTTGAGTGACTTATTTTTTTATAACAGGTCATATTTTCCTACTTCTTTCCATGTCTAATATTTTTTTTTTTCAGAATATTATGAGCATACAAACATTTTGGTTACATGTAATGCCTTTGCCTTGCCCAAGCCAGGGCTACAAGCGTGCTCTTCCCGCATACCGTGTTCTCCATCTCCATTTATTGTGAGTTTACCCCCCCAACACCCACCCTGACTGGCACCCAATGAATATTACTACCATGTGAGTACCTTAGTGTTGATCACTTAGTACTAATTGAATAGTGAGTACATGAGGTGCTTGTTATTCCAATCTTGTGATACTTCACTTTGAAGGATGGGCTCAAGCTCTATCCAGGATAATATATAGGAGGTGCTAGATCACCATTGGTTTTTGTAGTTGAGTTACATTATTACATGGTATACATATACATATACCACATTTTATTAATCCACTCATGTATTGATGGGCACTTGGGTTGTTTCCACATCTTTGTAATTGTGAATTGTGCTGCCATGAACATGCAAGTGCAGATTTCTTTATTATAGAATGTCTTTTTTTCCTTCAGATAGATGCCTAGTACTGGGATTGCTGGATCAAATGGCATTTCTATTTTTAGCTCTTTGAGATATCTCCAAATTACTTTCCACAGGGGTTGTACTAATTTGTAGTCCCACCAGCAGTGAAAGAGTGTTCCAATCTCTCCGCATCCATGCCAACATTTGTTGTTTTGGGACTTTTTGATAAAGGTCATTCTCATTGGAGTTAGGTGATATCTCAGTGGTTTTGATTTGCATTTCCTTGATGATTAGAGATGTTGAGCACTTTTTTATATGTTTGCTGGCCATTATTCTGTCTTCTTTTGAAAAGTTTCTGTTCATGTCCTTTCCCATTTATTGATGGGTTGTTTGATTTTTTCTTGTTGATTTTCTTAAGTTCTATATAGATTCTTCTTACCAGCCCTTTATCGGATGTGTAGAAAGCAAATCTTTTCTCCCATTCTGTAAGTTGTTTATTCACTCTAATGATAGTTTC